TCTTCAGCCCTCATTCCTTATTGTTGTGTGTGTGCCACAGAATGTCTGTGAAGGTCAGAAGACAGTGTTAATGATTCTCCCCATCTAACTTTATATGGGTTGCAGGGATCAAATTCATGTCATCATTCTGTCATCAGATGACAAGCACCTTCCATGTTGAGCCATCTTGGTCCCTGATTGCTAACACCATTGGTATTAGCAGCATCTAAAGTTCATAAAATGAAAGATCACACGTATTATTTGGGGTATGACCTTTTTTACCCTACGTTTTTATGAAATGCAGCTATTATCACTCATTTTTCATTTTCTTATTTTATTTCTAACACTAATTTTATGAATCTACTACATTTTTTTTACCCACTGGGAATGTTAATCTTGGTTATCAGTGTAATTAGATCTGGAACCAACTATGACAGCTTCTGGGTAGGCCTGTGGGGCTATTTCCTACAAGTACATTCAGACAGCAAGACCATCTCCTAGAGTGGCTGGCTGCCTTTGGCAGCTGCCTAGATGTAAGGTCTAAGGGGAAAGCTTTTGCTTTTTAGCCTGCTTGACTTTGCCCTTGCTCATGAGTGTATCTATCATGCTGCTCATGCTCTCAGCCTTGCTAACCTGGAAAGATATACATATATAATTTATTTTATTTTAATTTTATGCGCATTGGTATTTTGCTTGCATGTATGTCTGAGTGAGGGTGTTGGGTCCCTGAGAACTGAAGTTACAGTTTGTAAGCTGCCATGTGGGTGCTAAGAATTGAACCCAGGTCCTCTGGAAGAGCAGTCAGTGCTCTTAACCACTGAGCCATCTCTCCAGCCTTGGGAAACCAACTTCTTTGGCCTTCCAATGTGAACTTAAGTGGCTCTCCAGAAATACTGTATGTATCCAGCAGCAGACTGGGCCTGCTGAAGGATCCAGTCTCATGAACTAAAAAATGACTAGGTTATCACCTCTTCTATGTGAAGACAGCCAACTGTGGTTCTACTCTAACCTATATTATGTATGCCAATCTAATAATTCCCCTTTTAATATATATCTATTCTATAGGTACTGTTCCTCTAGGGAACCTGACTTTTCTGCCTATTGTTATTGGGATATGAAATCTTCCACATAGTCTCATGTATTAGGGGCTTGTTTTCAAGTTGATGGGTTTTGGACAAAGTACCTGGATCCTAAGGGCTTTAACCTAATCAAGGCATCAATCCCTCAATGAATTCACTATATAATAGAAATATTTGGAGACAAGGCTATTCTTACTGTGGATTTTTCTTGTATCTCTCTCTCCTTGCACTCCTTGTATTCTTCTCTCATTTCTTCATAAAATGAACAGCTTTTGCCAAAGGCCTCTGCTACAAGGATAGTCTGCCTCATTACAAACTTAGACATGAGCTAAACGACCACTGACTGTACCCTCTGAAACCATGAGTCAAAATAAGTCTTTCCTCCTTATAAGCTGTTCACATCAGGTATTTCATCACCATGACAAAAATTTGATGAATACAAGATATTGGTAGAGTACAGCTGGGCCACTGCTGTGATGATAACCTGTGCAATGGTTTTGAAACCTTTGGAAGGGGTTTGCAGAAGGTTGGAAACAAAGACCAGCAAAAGCCTGTGGTGCTTCAGTTAGGACTTAGCTCTAGGGAGCAGTCAGAAGGCAAGAATGCTACTAGAGTGTGGGCAGTGAAGACTATGCTGACAGGGCCTCTGGCCTAACCTAAGCATGCATGTAGTGCAAAGACATACATTTCTGCAAAGCATCTATACACATAAATAAAAATAAATCTTAGAAAAAAAGATTAGTGACATTTTTTTAAAAACCCAAAAGAAAAACAAAATAAAAAAAACAAGCCAGTATGTCAGTGCATGCCTGTAATTCTAGCACTCGAGAGGTGGAGGCAGGGGGATCAAGGAATAAGGCTACATAGTAAGTTCAAGGTCAGTCTGTCTCAACAGCTGCCTTATCTCCGCCCCACACCACAGAAAGAAAAAGTCCTTCACTAGGGTAATGGGAAAGATGATATAAAGACATGTACAGAATTGGTCAGAACCTACCCACTGCAGAATCAGGGTACAGAGGTTTTAACTCATTTAAAAGACTTGGCTTTGAGCTACCAGATGCCCTGTCCAGTCATCTGGGAAAGAGCTCAGATACCTAGAGGCAGCTACTGCTATGGTCTTATACAACCTGGCTATAGCTCAAGCTTGTGACAGTCCATGGTCTTATCCAAACAGTACTAGTTTTTCAGGCATGCAAAATACAAGAGTGATGAAGGTCATGTAGGCTTCCACCCAGAATTCAAAGCAGGCAATGAGTGACAGGGTTAGGATCCCTGCAGGAAGCCCCCAAGAAGGCAGTGTGTGAAGCTGTAAGAAAGTCTGAGTTGCAGTGGAGATACCAGGATGTTGGTGATACCAGGTGTGTGAAATGTATACTGAGGTAAGCTTCAGAGAGAAAGTCATGTCAGGTACAAATGGCAAGGCCACAGGAGTGGAGCAGCCCCAAGCATGTTGGACCTCACATCTCAACACAGCCTGGATGCCAGACATGGTGCTACAGTACTTGCGTTTTCCCTGCTGGGTTTTAGTCTTACTTTGGTCCTATCATGCTTTTCTGCACCCCACTTCCCCCTTTTGGAATGGGCCTGTTAACCCTGTGCCATATTGGGAGTAATTTTCTTTTTGATTTTTACAGAGGGTCATAACTAAGAGATTGCTTTGATCTTATTGGAAACATTAGATTAAAGCTTAAGAACAATGTTAGAATTATCAAGAATTTTGGAAACTCTGGAGATAGACAAGAAGCATTCTGTATTATGAGATGGTGATGAGTCTTTTGGCCAGGTGAAACGTTATGGCTTGAACATGAAATGTCTTTTATAGGCTCGTGTGTTAAAATGGTTGTTAATACATGGTGGTACTATTTTGGGAGGATCTGTGAACTTTACAAAGTAGGGCAAGTTGGAGAAAGTAGGTCAAAAACTGGACACGTGCTTTTAAGTTTACCCCTGGTCCCCAGTCAGCCCACACTCTGCTCTGTCTACTGTGAGGTGAGCAGGCTTCTCTTTCCCTGCTCCATTCCCACTGCCGTGACCTGCTCCAACGCAGGGAGGGACCCAAGCAGTTATGTACTGAACCCTCTCAAACTGTGGGTTGAAATAAATTCTTTGGCCTTTAAGTTGTCCTCTCAGAGACCTTTTGATGACAGCTGTGTAAAAGTAACCAGTGCACACACTTTTACTGATAGAAAGTTGAGCTTTTTGTAACCTTTAGCTATTACAAATTAAACTGCTTGTTCATGTGTATATCACTTATGAACACATATTTTTAATCTCCATAGCTAAGAGTACAACTACTGGGCTATATGTTAGGCATTGAAGTAACTTTGGTAGACACTGCCAAGCAATTTTGCATAGTTATTATATCATTTATACTCCCACTAATAATGTAAAGTTCTAGGCAGTCTACATATTTGCCTATATGTAATATAACCAGCCTTTTTAAAATTTTTCACTTTTGGTGGCTATGAAGAAATTCATTATGATTTGAATTTCTGTTTTTCAGGTGGCCTCCGAACTTCAGCAATTTTTCATGTGCTTATAGACAATTAGCATAAACTTCCTTTTAAAGTTTCTATTCAAGAATTTTGCAAATCTGGGGAAGAAAGGTGCCTTTTGTTTTGTTTTGATTTGTTCCATTTTGTTTTGAGACAGGGTCTCTCTGTAGACCAGGTTGTCCTAGAACTCACAAAGATCCACCTGCCTCTGCCTCCTGAGTGCTGGGATTAAATGCATGTGCTAACCACTGCCTAGCAATTTTCCTTTATATTTCTTGAAAATGAACTGAATATATATATATATCAATCACATGCAATTTCAGTGGTTTTAGTTTCCATAGAAATCGAGAATGACAAAGAGGCAGATCTAAAAATTAATTTTATGTTTTTTTTTAAATAACGTAATTTTTACCTCCACATCTTGAACAGTCCTTGGTTGAGCCATGCATAATTTATTAAGCAGCTGAAAAATCAGTTCTTCAATGTAATAAAGGGATTCTTCATTAGCTGAAAGGGTAGGATGTACTTGCTCCTGAACCTTGAAAAGAAAAATTCTCAGTTAAGGCACTAGCAAAATAATATGAAATGAGCAAATTCAATAAGAATCCTACATGTAGTTAATATTTTACTAAAATGATTATATACCAATATAAATATTTTTAAAGCCAAAGTATATGGGTAGCTAGAGAGATGGCTAAGCAATGAAGACTACTTGCTGCTCTAGCAGAAGACAATGGTTAGGTTCCCAGCACCCACATGACAAATCACAACTGTCTGTAACTCCAGATTCAGGGGATCTATATGTCCTCTTCGGGCCTCCGTGAGCACCGCATGCATGTAGTGCACAGATATACATGTAGAAAAACACTCACACACATAAAATAAAAATATTTTTAATTTTTTTTAAATAAAGGGGCTGGAGAGATGGCTCAGTGGTTAAGAGCACTTGCTCCTCTTCTAGAGGACCTGAGTTCAGTGTCCAGCAACACATCTGCCTATAATTCCATCTCCATGGATTCTAATATCTTTCTGGCCACAATATGTAACATACATACACGAATATACATAAATAAAATTAAAAACAAAAAAATTTAAAACAAATTTTAAATAAAAACACTATTTGTTGGTCTGTGTTCCTTTTTCTTAAGCTGTCTTTAAACTTTTTTTAAATTCTGAGACTCTATAAAATGTCATTGAACCCTCTACTTCCCACTATTAAAAAAAACAAACAACAAAACCATGTTCAAGGCTGGGGAGATAGCTGTCAATAAAAGGCTTGTCTTGTATATATGAGAACCTGAGCTCCATCACTATAACACATATAAAAGCTGGGCATGATGGCACATGCCTGTAATCACAGCCCTGGGTAGGTGAAGCTGGCTAGACCATTTCAGCTGGCCAATCACCCCAGTCTACTTGGTGAGTTTCAGGCAATAGAGAGACCATGCCTCAAAAAGCAAGGTGAGAGGGTCACATTGAGCGTCCGCTGCTCCCTGGCAGCCGTGAGGAGTTAGCACCATGGCTGAAGACATCAAGACTAAAATCAAGAACTACAAAACTGCCCCTTTTGACAGCCGCTTCCCAAACCAGAACCAGACCAAGAACTGCTGGCAGAACTACTTGGACTTCCACCGCTTCGAGAAGACCATGACTTCGAAGGGGGGTGATGTCTCCATGTGTGAGTGGTACCGGCGTGTGTACAAGTCCCTCTGCCCTGTATCATGGGTTTCAGCCTGGGATGTCCGAAGAGCAGAAGGCACTTCCCAGTTTCCTGGGAAGATCTGACCTGACTCCACCCACCTCTCCTCTTCTCTGTCCTTCCCATATAGTTAAGGGGGACCTGGGTATATGATGGTCCCTACCTTGGGACCCTGAATCATGATGCAACTACTAATAAAAATTCACTGGAAAAGTAAAAAAAAACAAGGTTAGGAGTGATGCCTAAGGCTGATCTCTGGTCTCCACATGCACACACATGTACCCAGACACACCCACATCAATACATGCACCCACACAAATAAATACACACACATACTCATGCAATTACCCAAACACCCCCACACAAATGAATGCCCCCCCACACACAACAAGGCATACTCCCCTAAAATATTATAATGTAATTCTAGAGGAACCATAGCTATCTTTAACCTACCTAAAGTATCTACTAGAAGACTGTGAAAACTAGATCCTGAGTACCAGTAACAGACAGAGATACCTTTGAAACCAGAGACAGTCTGAGGTAGGTTCTATTCAGTCTTCACAATGGCTTTGTTCACCTTACTGCCACTCACTAATCAGTTATGCTGAGCCCTTACAATTTTTTTCTAAAGCTAGAACTTAGTAATTTATCCTAATAATCCAGTGTGTGTGACTGGATATAAAAAACACAGTAAATAACAGTTATACCTGAATATTGCATGCAAATAGTTGTTGAAAAAAATTAGGCACTGCTCCAACTTTTTATGTCATAATATTAAAAGTATATCAGTACTACCGACACACATAACAGGAATCTTAAATATCCTTACAAACTGGCTCAGTATTGAAAAGCCTTTCCACAAAGAAATTAGCATAAGTTAATTTCATTATCAAAATTTAGCATGAAAATTTCCCTTACACACGGAGTAGACCCCTGCTGAAAATTACCAAGGCATACAATAATGTATCACATCCTCTTCTATCCTCTAAATCTGTGGGATGGGTAGTGAAACACCTCCTCTCACTCCTACATTAATATTTGTGTCTTCTTTCTTTTTTGAGCAATATCTCAGGGAGCTACCAACTTTACTAATCTTTTCAAGGACCAATAAAATCATAGTTAATAAAATAATGAAAGCTTGCCTCTGAGATCAAGAGAAGGCAAGGCAGGGCTACTGGTTGCTCCCCACAAACTGATGGCAAGACAACACCAGCACAACTCATTGAACATGGTGCATTTGAGTTGGTGCCTACCTAGAAAGAGCATTCATCCCTACTGACTAGAGTTCCTGGCACTGGAAGGTACTGTGCAGACCACCAAAAGAGAAAAGTAAACATCATTAGATACAAACCCTTCAATCTACAATCTACAATGGTGACCTGCTTGCAAAATACATTGGTGGCACAAAAGCTATGGAAGTAAACAACCAATATCTGATTGAATTTAAGGTCCACTCCTTGAGATGGAACCCATCTTTGACACTGCTAGGTGTCTAAGAACCCAAGACTAAATAGGCCAAAGACCTAGGGGAAAACCAAATACTACACTGTTCTTCTAAAGGAACATAGCAATAAAATGACTTCTAGTGACATTCTGCTATACTCATCAGTGTCTTGCTCAGCCATTATCAGAAAACTTACTCCTACAGTAGATGGGAACAAATACAGAGACCCACAATGGACAATGTGCAGAAAGTAAGATACCTTGGAACTCTCAACCCTCAATGGGATTTCTCCATCAAATTCCTGCCCTTAGTGCTCAGGGCAGGAGGCAGAGAGATTTAAGAGCCAGTGGGATGGCAGACACCAAGGAAATAAGGCCTTCTAAACACAGCAGGAACGATGAACATTTGAATTCACAGATGAACATATGAATGCAGCATGCGCAGGGCCAACATGGGTCTGTACCAGATGAAGTCCCAGCATCAAGACAGAAGTGGACTCTCTGAGTTGGAGGCCAGCCTTGATGCACAGTGAGTTCTAGGAAGAGCCAGAGCTATGTAGAGAGACCTTGTCTCAAAATAACAGGGTCTGAGGGGTGGCTCAATGGTTCAGAGAGGTTGTTGCTCAAGCATAAGGACCTGAGTTCGAATCTCTAGGCCCACATAGAAAAATCAATAACCCCAGCAATATGGGGAGTGGAGGCAGGAGGATCCCTGGGGCTTGCTGGATACCAGCCTACCTCTAGGTTCAGTGGGGAATGATGGGTGAGGTCCTTCTGTGTATATGATTGTCTTATTGGTTGATAAATAAAGCACTGTTGGCCAATAGGAAAACAAAATAGGTGGGACTAGGAGTCAAGGAGGATTCTGGGAAAGGTAGGAGAAAGCAGAGTCACCATGTGAACCTGGGAAGACAGGATGCTTGCCGCTGGTGTCCCATAAGTCAGTACGATAAGTCTTATAAAATATATAGATTTATGATAATTAAGACTGAGATAGCAGATGAGAAATCCTAGTCATTGGCCAAGCAACATTTGTACCTAATATAAGTCTCTGTGTGTTACTTGGGACCTTAACGTGGCAGCGGGCAGAACTTGGGCAGCCTGGCAGAAAGTGCCCACCTGGCAGCAGGGCTCAGGTAACTTGGCAGAAAGACTTAGTGTTACAGGGGAACTCTGAATTAAGAGAATAAGACAGGAAATGATTGAGAAGGACAGCCAATATCCTCCTCTAGCCGACATCCAAAATCCTCCTCTAGCGGGCATACACATGCATACACACAAATACAGAAAAAAAATTAGAAAAAATATAATTAGCAGATGATTTGGTTATTCCTTTTGATGATTCCTGGGTACTGATATATCCAGCTAAACACGTGTGAGTGTCCTGCTGAGAGAGTCAGAAGAAGTTATCATCTAAACTGGTAGAATTAGAAAGTTGGACTGCCCTTCCCGTGTGTGCAGCTTCAATCTAATCTATTAGCGTCTCTAATTGTGTAAGCCAATTTCTTCAGAGTAAATCTCTTTTAAACTGTGGATACAAGCACGTGTGTGATTAATTCTTTTTCTCTGAGACTCCAGACTAATATACTCATTCAGGACAAAACTACTTTATAAATAAATTGTTTGAATTCATTAAAAAACCCAAATTTTCAACTCTATATACCATCAACAAAGCTAGTAATAAAAATTTCAAAAATGCACTTACAATTTTTTAAACAATGTGCCTTGGACTAAATCATACCAAAAACATGATTCCCATTCAGAAAACTAGACTGAGAGAAATTAAAGATGAACAAATTAATGATATCTGCTTTGTGAATTATCAGACATAAGTATACCAATTCCCTCTTTCCTGCCCTCTCTCGATGCTCCCTCCCTTCCCCCAGCAAAACCTCTCAAGTAAGCTCTGTCTGCCTGCCCTCAACAGCCATGGGGCTTCCCACCAAGGTCCCTCTCCCACAGTATCATAACATTTTTGGTGACAAGAAACTCAACAGGCCCCTCCCAGGGCCCACCCTGAGTGACGCCAGGACAAAAGGAAAAAAAAAAAAAGTATACCAATGCTTCCCAAACTAACCCATAAGCTAATACAATCTCAATCAAAAGAACTTGTAATTCAATTGACAAGGTAACTTTCAAAATGTAGAAGAAAATACAAAAGAAGAACCTAACAAAATCTACCATTTGCTACTCTGTATGTACTAAGCATACTGTTGTTTGCTTGATAAATTCACTCATTCAAAACAAAACATGGTTTATAGACCACTCACAAGACCATATAAAACAGTATAGCAAAAAAATACAATAGTACTGAAACTATGTAAGACATGCTTTAGTCTTCAAGACAATATCAATCAAAGATACCAGGTGGAAAGAATACATATGATAAGGTTCAGGACCAGACAAAATTGATGGGCACAGACAGTGTCATGCGCCTTTAACCCCAGCACTCAGTCAGAAGTAGGTGCATGTCTGTGAGTTTGAGGCCAGTTTGGTCTACATAGGGAGTTCCATATGTGCCATGTACACAGGACTACATAGTGAGGCCCAGTCTTGATACGTAAATGTATTAAACAGTACAAAGACAAAAAGAAACCACTGCTGAGGAACAGGGGAAAGGAGGAAGACTAATAAAAGGCAGCACTGCTGGAGTGTTTCACTGAGAAAAATGATGGCAATTTGCTGCTGCCTGAGTGACAACTAAATGTTTGCGTTCTCTAATTTGTTGTTTATCCTTTTTGTGTTTTCTGATTTCTGTCAAATATCACCAGCAAATGTTTAAAAAGTTAAGAGAACCATCTGGCAAGCTAAGATAGTGTAACTGAGATGGGATAAATCGAGGAGTTACATTACCCCTAAGATAATTTTAAATAATATCCTTAGTATCCAATTCAATGAATAAAATTAAAATGATAGAATACTGGAGACAGAGAATAGCTTACAAAACTGAGAGGGGGTGCATTACATACAGGAAGCAAACATTAAAGAGTTTCAGACAGTAAGATCAGAAGCTTAACAGCAATGTTTTCCTATCTAAACCCAAAATTTATCAAATATGATGGTAAAATAAAGGCATTCTTAGACATAACAAGGAGATACACTATATACCCCATATACCACTTCTCATTAAGACTCTGTGATTTAAACAACACTAAAACAAAACTATAAATCAAGAATGAAAATAGGAAAATGAAAAAAATCAACATAGTAGAAAGGCTAAAGGAATGTCTAGGATTAAATGAAAGTAAATTATATGACAAGAGCCACATAATACTCATCAGGGTCACTAGTGCAGACTGAAATATGTCAGAAGACTTCCAAGAACTGTCTCAGCAGATGAAGTCAAGAACATACTTAACGGAACTAAAAACTCTGGAAGAATATTGAGACAACTGGCAGAAAGTCTGAGCTTGAGACTCAGTTCACAGAAAACTAAACAAACAAGAAAACAAGATAATTATTAGTGCCACTAGATGATTATTAGTGCCATTAAAAACAAAAAGAAAAAGTGCTTTAATATAAATAGCATGAGTTGTAATACTATAAAATGAATATTGACCCAATCAAAATAAATATACAACCACGTGGGAGGAAGGCAGGAAGGTAAGCATGGCAGAGGGGCTTGGGGAAAGTATTTCCTCTCACACGATGTACTTCCTTCACCTGATAAGAGGAAAGCCCATAACATCTGCACTGTCCACGCCCACTATATTCCTGGTATAAAAATCTTTTTTTCTATTTACCTATGTACATATGTGCATGTGTACAGATA